GAGTCCCCAGAGGGCAGCACAGGCCCCATGTTAGGGGGATGTGGGGGGAGTGGTGTAGTTCCTATGGGGCCCTGGTTGGGGGTCGCGCTGTGGACTGGGTGCGGGGGGAGTGGGAGCCCCGTGGAGGGTGGGGGCTCCCCTGGCTGGGCATGTGGCGCAGTCTAGTGCCCCCCCTCACCCATCTCTGCCCCCTGCCCCGCAGGTGAAGGAGCTGCTGGGGGCCAAGCTGCCCGGCTGGCAGCAGTCCTGCGTCCAGCCCACCCGCCTGCCTGACCGCGCTCTGGCCCTGGTGAAGCAGACGGCCAACAACCCTGCCGCGCCCGTCATCTCCGACCCGCTGCCCGCCCCCCAGCCCCTGGAGGTGCCCCCCGAGCTGGCACCCCTGCTGGGGGGCGGCGGGCTGGCCCTCAACCACGTATGTCTCTGCCCACGGGGGATGGGGAGGGGCGCCATTGCCAGAGGGTGGAGCCCATCGGGAAAGACCCGGACTCCTGGGTCCCTTTCCCAACGGGGATGGTGACTTGGGCACTACGGGAGAGGGGTAGGGTCCCCCTGGCACTGACCCGGACTCCTGGGTCCAATCCCAAAGGGCAGAGCCCCTGGGAAGGTGACCCGGACACCTAGGTCCATTTTCCAATGGCAGAGCCCCTGAGAAGGTGACCTGGACACCCGGGTCCATTTTCCAAGGGCAGAGCCCCTGGGAGGGTGACCCGGACACCTGGGTCCCCAAACCCAACTGGGAGGGTGATGCTGATCCCCAGTGAGCAGAGCTCCTCCCCCCTCCCCCCGTCTCTCCCTCCGCAGCGCGTCTCACTGCAGGAAGCGACTCCGCTCCCCAACGGCGACTCTCACCGCACCCGGGGCTCCCGTGACCTGGGGCACCCGCCCGCCAGCGAGCTCCTCACCGTCCCGCTAGGCCTGCCGGCCCTGCAGCCCGCACCAGCCACGCAGACCCCCCCTCCGCCCAGGGCCAGCGACGGCTACTCCTGTACCCTGCCCATCCCCCGCAAAGCCTCCGCGGAGACCCGCCTCGCCACGCTCAGTAAGTGCCCGCCGGTGCCCCTCACTCCCGACCCGCAGCCCCTGCTAGCCCAGCCCTGGGCTCCCCCCAGCCCTGCTGGTGCCCCTCACTCCCGACCCGCAGCCCCTGCTAGCCCAAACCCGCCCCCCCCCGCTCTGCTGGTGCCCCTCACTCCCGACCCGCAGCCCCTGCTAGCCCAAACCTGCCCCCCCCCGCTCTGCCGGTGCCCCTCACTCCCGACCCGCAGCCCCTGCTAGCCCGGCCCTGGTCTGTGCTGGCCAGCTCCGACATGTTTACTGCTGGAGCTGAGCCTGGCTGGCTCGTCCCATGTGTGACCCCAGATGGGGGCATCCCAGCCCTCACTACTTTCCAGCCTCCCTGGCACATGATGCAGGCTCTGTGGGGGATATTTTGGGGGGGAGGGTGACCCCATTCTGGGGGGAAGCTGCCCCCCCACCCCTCCAGGTCTGGGCGACTTGCCCAGCCTAAGCCAATTAAGAGTCCAGCGCTGAGCGGCTTGTTCCGATTTCGTATCCTGGACTGACCCGGCCGGGGCTGGGACGGGATTGGGGGAGGAGGGGGGCTCTGCGAGTTCCTGGCCAGTCACTCAGAACCCCCCCCCCCGACGATCTCCTCTCCCCCCCAATCCAGCTTTTATCTCTACCCCTGGTTCCCCTCCTCTGAGCTCTCGCAGGCCCTCTCATGTGTACCCCCGGGACACCCCAAGCCCCCCCCGATGCCCTCCTCTAAGACCCCCCCCCCACATATCCCCCGTGTGCCCCTTTCTCAGTCTCTTGGCCCCTCTCCAGGGGCAGGGAGGGGGGGCAATCCCCAGCCTGACTCTCCCTTCTCTTCCCCCACCCCCCAGCAGAGAACAGGACCCTGCCGCGGGTCGGGGCGCTGGCCGAGCGGCGCCGGGTCCAGGCCGTGTTCTCCCACGCGGCCGGCGAAAGCAGCACCTTGCTCAACTTCCAGGAGGGCGACGTCATCGCGCTGCTGGTGGCCGAGGCCCGGGACGGCTGGCACTACGGGGAGAATGAGGCCACGTGCATGTGAGCCCCTCCTGCTTGTGCTAACGACTAGCCCCCCCCTCCTCTCCCACAGCTGGGAGAGAACCCAGGAGTCCTGGCTCCCACCCCCTCTCCTCTCCTCTCCTCTCCACCCCTTCCACAGCCGGGGAGAGAACCCAGGAGTCCTGACTCCCGTCCCCCCTCTCCTTTCCTCCCCCAGCAGGGGAGAGAACCCAGGAGTCCTGACTCCCAGCCCCCCTCCCCCACTAGACCCCTCCCTCCTCTCTCAGAGCCGGGCATGATGGATCCGGGCTCCTGGGTTCCAAGTCCCCGGTCCAGATCTGTGAACTCAGCTGCCCCCTGGGGGGAGGGTCCGTGCGTGTCTCCATCCTGCCTGACCTCTGCTCCCCCCACCCCCAGGAAAGGCTGGTTCCCCTTCTCGTACACCCGTCCCGTCCCCCCTGCCGAGACCGCCGAGAAACCCCACGGCAGGTGAGCTGGGGGCTGGGCGTGCCACATGGTGGGAGGGGGGAGGAGGAATACGGGGTGACAGATGGAGGAGGCGGAGTTGGGACTGGGGGGGCAGGGGGCTGGGAGAGGATGGGGGGGCCAGGCAGTGGTACTGAGTTGCGGGGAAGGGTGGGGGAATGGGGCAAGGTAGAGGGAGGGGAGCAGAGTGGGCTGCGGGGGTGCTGAGCTGGTGGCAGGATGCGGGGCACAGAGAGGGGGAGATTGGGGCCAGGGTGGGGGGAGTATGGGGGGGCACTGTGTAGCTCCAGGGCCTCGTTTTAACCCCATCTCTCCCCCGTCCCAGTTTTCCCCTGAGCAAACTCAACAGCAGCAGCACGGGGACCCTGGACAAAGTGGGGTGCGTGGCCCCCAGCCCGGAGGGAGGTCACGGGGGGGCCACCTTGCGCTACGCCCCCTCCCCCCGCTCCAGCACCTTCCGCCAGCGCCCCTATAGCATGATGAACCCCGACCTGTCACAGGTGAGTTGGGGGAGGAGCTTCCAGGTGAGCGCCTCCCCACTTCTCTGGGCACAGCTCCTCCCCCCACCATCTCTCCTCCTGAGGCCTGGAGCCTGCTGCCCAGCCCTGGGCGCACCCCGACCCTTGAGACTCCCCACCCAGCGCCCGGCACCCAGCCACGCCTCCAGGGTGCTAGCCCAGCCGTGGGGCCCGTAGCCTCGGGAGCCGTTCCGTTGCAGTGGCCGGGCACTTCACGTCGATGACCCTCCGTTGGTGGCGCTTTGCCTGCCCACCCCCGGGGTGCCAGGCTGGCCGGGGGCACAGGAGGCCAGCAGCATGGCACGGAGACAGGGAGCGAATTGGTCGGTTGTCCAGTGCCCCCAAATTACCACCAAGGGGGCCCCACTGAGGAACTCCCCACCCCGTCCTCCTGCAATCCCCACCACCAGCTGCCACCTGGGGGCAAGTGTGGGCATTGCAGGGCCAGCCTGGTGATCGCCATGTGCCCCACCCTCTGTGCCCCCCGCCCCATCTCACCCTCCGGCTAATGTGATTCTCTCCTTCCTCTTCCCAGTTAGCGAACGAATTTGGGAGCCCCCCGAACTCCTCCCCATCCAGGTGAGAGCAGCGAGGTCCGCGCCCTGGGGCCCCAAACCTAGGATTCTCCCCCCTCAATGGCCCTAGTGCCACATTCACCCCCCCCAACCCCCCACCTATCAGGATAACCTCCCCCCCCGGGCACTAGCACCCAGATTTATGTCCCCCCCCCCCTTCAGCTCCCACTGAGGCCCCATGACCCGTGCCCTCTCTCTCCCCCCCCCCAGGTCTAACCCCTTCGCTCACGTCAGGCTGAAACGGACGGTGACCAACGACCGCTCGGCCCCGCTGATCCAGTGAGGCCCCGGGCACCCGCCGATCGCCCCCTGGGGGAGAGATGCCAGGAGCCCCCCCGCTCGGGAAGGACTGGGGAACTGACGGGGGGCCTCCCCCCTATGCAGCCCGCAGCTCCGTCTAGTGGCTGCTTTGCAGAAGAGCATCTCAACAGCTGGGCTCGGGCCGTATCACGCAGCGGGAGGGTTCGGGGTTCGAATCCTGCCGGCGATGCCTGGAGTGGGGGGAGCAGGAATGGAGCTGGGCCCCGGGGAGCCACAGGGTGGGGGAAGGGAGGGGGAGAGGCTGCCCCCCGAGATAGAAATGCCTCCTGAGGGCTCTGCTATGGGTTACGTGTGTATCTGTCCGTCCCCCCTTGCACCCCTCTGTCATCTCCCTACACACATCCATCCCCTCTGCACTCCTCTGTCTGCCCCCAGGCCCCCCTCTATCCGTCTGTCCTGTGCACACATCCGTTCCCCTGCCCACCCCTCTACCCATCGGTCCCAGCTCCCCCAGGGGGGCTGCTACGCCCTAGCATTTCACCAGGCCTTCGGAGGAGCCCGAGGCCCCGCCCTTCCCCCCTGGGCTCCAGCCCCCCTGCTTCCCCCTGGGAGCTCTGCCCAGCCGACCCGCCAGAGCCAGCCGCCTGGGGGAGCTCCTCACCCCCTGCAGGGTCCCCCGGTAGCGCTGCCCGGATGTGGGGAGCCCAGAGGTTCGCCATCCACCACTGCCTCGGGCCATTGTCCCTGCTGGGTTCCCGGCCTGAGCGTCCCCTCCTCAGGGGGGTGAATTGCCCCACGGCAGGTGGCATGTAACCGGGGCAGGTGGCTAACGGAAGGCCGGTTTTTAAGCCCGGCTTCCGTGCCAGGCCAACGGGGTGAAACTCGAGGGCAGAGCAGAAGGCGTCCAGAGGTGGGTGAAGGCAGGTCGGTGGAGAAGGGAAATCCCTGTCTCGCCCAGCGGCTGGAATCCGAAGGGGCAACCGACGTGTGGCCAAGGGGGTGGGTGGGTCTAGCGTCCTTGAACAAGGCTCTGAAGCAAAGCCGGACGGGCCCAGGGGGAAGGGGGTGGTTAAAAGACAGGGGACAAAGGGGAAAGGGGCAGTTTCCAGACCGGAGAGCGGTAGATGGGGGGGCCCCTAGAGTCTGGGCTGGGCAGCGTACTCAGAAAGGCAAACGGGGCGAACGCTGAGCAAACACTTGCAGACGAGACAAACTGACTCCGGCTCGTTAAGTCCAAAGCACCCCGCGAAGTGCCCCCAAAAATCTCCTCGAACAGGGGGACTGGGCCATGAAACGTGGGGTTGAGAAACATGACGCTGGAAACCGTCATCCCAGCCGGACCTACTCCAGGAAGGGATCTAGATGAGCAGGTACCACCCGAGACCGAGATGGCGGAGTCGGGATCGTTCGCTGCAAACGGCAGGTAACAGGAGGTTAGGAACCGTGAGGAAACGGGGGAAGAATCGGACAGACAACACCCTAGTGCCGCTCTATCAACCCAGGGCGCGCCCACCCCTTGAGTACGGCGGGCGGTTCGGGTCGCCCCAGCTCCAAACAGAGCTGTTGGCGTTGGGAAAGGTGTGGAGAAGGTCAGAGAAATGATGCGGGGATGGAACAGCTTCTGCTGAGGAGAGACGAAAAGGACGGACACCGTTCAGAGACGGTGAAGGGGGATGTGAGAGAGGGCTGTGAAATCGGGACGGGGATGGAGACGGGGAACAGGGAAGTGCTAGTTATCCCTTCACGTGAGGTGAGAACCAGGGCTCAGCCGATGAAATGAAAACAAACCGACGGCAGCACCGTCAACCTGAGGAACTCCCTGCCGGGGGATGCTGGGAAGGGCGAAAGTCGAACGGGGTTCGAGAGTGGGTCCAGCACTGGTGGTCACGGGGGCAACCCAGGCTCTGGGTGTCCCTAAACCTCTGCCTGCCCGAAGCCGAGAGCGGCCGATGGGGGCGCTCATGCGACAGTCGCCCTGTTCTGTTCATTCTCCGTGACGCAGTGGGCCCTGGCCACTGGCGGCAACAAGCCATTGGGCCGGCGGGACCCTTGGTTGGCCCCAGCGTGACTGTTCTTCCCTGGTCCTCAGGGGCCCATTGGCTGTGTGGTTCCTCCATCAATCAGGGTCACTTCCAGCTGCCCCTTTAACACCCTGTTCATCCCACCCCCCGCGGTCCATGGCCCCACCCCCATGGCGCCAGCTCTGTCCCGAGAGCAGCTTTGTAACCCTTCAGCCCCCACGGGGGAGCCGCGCAAATCACAGAGGGAAACTGAGGCAAACATGGGCCTCAAAAATATTACAGCAAATTTCCACTTCCTCATGCCATCCATCAATACGATTTTAGGTATGCGTCCATCCATCCCTCCACATCCCCTCTATCCATCCATCCAGCCCCCAACCCCTGTATCTATCCATCCATCTTCCCCCCTACCTCCATCCATCCCCCAAGCCCTGTGTCTATCCATCCATCCTTCCCCCGTACCCCTCTATCCATTCATCCCCCAAGCCCTGTATCTATCCATCCATCTTCCCCCCGTACCCCCTCTATCCATTCATCCCCCAAGCCCTGTATCTATCCATCCATCTTCCCCCCGTACCCCCTCTATCCATTCA